AGATAGGAAGTATGTCGGCCTGGCCCGGCTGGAAGCTGGAAGGGGCCCGAGAGGTTCTCATCCCAACAGCAAAGGGCAGAACCCAGACTCACAGTTCCCGACGGGGGCAGGACCCGTAAGGTGTGGAAGAGAATTTTACCCAGGGCCTCTGACTCTGGTTCTGGGCATTTTGGATATGTGCTGCCGAAGTGAGCACTGTTCTGGGCATTTTGGAAATGGCATTTCACGTGCCATCTGCTAGGATTTTTCCTTGCTGCAGAGAAGTGACAGGGTCAAGTGCCCAAGAGTCAATGCCACAGAGTCGTAACCAGTCAGTCAGAAGGAGAAAGGAGGAAGGCTGTAGATTGCTAGACAGGATCTTTCTTCTTTTTTCCCTCCGCATTATAAAATCATGCTTGAGGCCTTATCTTTTTTATTCTTTAACTTACATTTGGAGAAAACCCCATCTTTCCAAATCCATCTCAAACTGGTCTCAAGTTGGTACAGCAGAACCTAAAGGTGACGTTCTGGGGACAGATGTCGAGTTACTCATAATCATTTAAGATACACGGCATGCCTTGAAGATCTCCCTTGTGTACTTTTGAAAAGAAGTAGAGAGAGGGGGCCAAAAAGGAGAGAGACAGAGAGAAGCAACAATGCCAAATATTTAAGACAGAGGATCTGGGTTCAGGTTGGACTGGTCCCAAATTGGTGCAAGTTATGCAATCTCTCTGGAACTCCCTTTCTGCCTGCATCTCTGCAGAGCGGGGAGAGGTGACGACAGGAGGCAGATTAAAGGAGGGAACTTGCGGTTAGCATGCAACACAGTGCCCGGCACATGGGATGTGTTCCGAGAGAGTTAGTGATCATTGGTGTGGAGGAGGAGAAAGAGGCACAGAGTGTTTCACCATCTGCTTTGACACTGGTGCATGGAACCCACCCGTCAGAGTTGAGGCTGAGGATGGGGCAGGCGCAGTGCGGTGGCTGTGGTTGGATTGGGGAAAGGAGCTTTGGACCTGATGAGTTAACTAGACATCCGAGGAGCTCTCACTAGAGCTGAACAGTCTTCGGACGGCTGATCCTCATCGCAGCCATAGAGGGAAAAGCGGGGGAGAGGGCAGACAGGGTGGGAAGAAACTTTTTGTTGTTGATTTGAATCTGAAACCACATAAATGCATGAAGCCCATTAAAAAAAAAAATCAAATAATACTTCCGAAAAGTCTTTTACCAGATATATGAGGTGGTGCACATCTGGAATCCCAGCCCTCTGAAAGGCTGAGGCAAGAGATACCCACCCTGGACAATTGAGATCCTATCCCAAAATAAAATAAAAATAAGAAATTTAACAGGGCTTAGTGAAGGGAAGGTGCCAGGAATGGGATGATCCAGATCTAAAGACTGCAATAACCCTGTTTTGTGCAGTGCTACCTAGGAGGGCATCAAACACGTAGGGCGGGCTTTGCCTTAGGATCCGGGCTTCATTAACCTGACTGGGTTTCAAAGACACAAAGTCATATTTTAATCTCAGCCATCCTCCCTTTGACCCTTTTTCTAAATGTTCAGAACCAGTGCCCACAGAACTGCATTACTCAGCCTGTGGGTTGCCTGCAGGAGCAGGAGAGTGGATTTTATTGGCTAAATGAGGGCTTTGTTTGTATTATCTGTGCATTTATCAGTGCTTCCCCTGGGCTTTTAGGCCATAGATAATTGTTGCTCAGAGCAGTTAAGACTCCGGGGCTGGCACCTCATTTTCTGGAGTGCTGGGGAAGTGGGTGGGGTGGCACAGAACTCCATTCACAAATAAGCAAGCGCTTGCCTACACTAACCTCACAGGAACCCTATGATTCCATTTTAGAGGCAAAGAAACTGAACCAGGTGAAGTTAAGCAGCCCGAGCTCAGAGCTAGCATTAACAGGCTGACTTACCTTACCTCTCGGTCGGCAGTGAACCCTGGGGGCCGAACCTGGAGAGGGGCGCTTTGAAGGTGACTAAGGGTCCTAGGCTGCGTTGTAGCTTTAGCTGGGGAACCAAATCTCAAATCCTTCTCTGTAGCTTCCGGTTTGGACGCCCTAACGACCAGGATGTAAATTTCTGCATTGGCCCGGGGCAATTGACTTCCTCCTTGAGCCTCAGATTCCTTATCGGCTCAGGTTCCTTATCTGCCCCAGGGAGGAGCTAGATGAAAAGCCCTCTCCTCTTCGGGTTAGGCATTAGCGAGAGAGGGTGTGTGCTGGGGGAGGGGGGGCGCGCTGCTATGCCCCGGTCCCTGGAAAAAAACGAGGCTTTGAAGGGTCTGTCTTAAGCCAAGTCCTTCTCAGGAGGTCAGGCCCCTGGGCAGAGGTGGCGCTCAAACTCGGCTGTCCCTCCAGGACTTGGAAAAGCGCCGCTCTGGCCACCGCCCCGCTGCCCCGAGTTCGAGGGTGGATCTTTCTCCCCTAAGGGAGTTAGAGATGAGGGTGTGCACGCCGAAAGGCTTCTGGGAGTGACAGCTGAGTCACACCCCGAAGGTCCAGCAGGAATTAGTGAGAGCTGGCAGGGGAAGGGTGCGGAGCCTGCACCCTCAACAAAGAAAGCTTGCAGCGCACGAGGAGCGGCGCAGAGGTCCGCAGAGGCGAAACCACGCAGGGCTTCGGACGCACTTTATTCTAAGGGAACGGGGAGGGCTTGGGGATTAAAAGTGAGCAATCAGGAGTGGCGGAAAGACCCTCGGAGGCTGCTGAAGATGACCGAGGATCTGAAACGACCCTATGCGCTGTCCCCGGGCTTTCTTAGATTTGGGGCAGGGCTCGGTCAAACCCTCCTTGAGCGAAGTCGTGCGGCGGCCCTTACTCTTTCGGGGGCTCTCTGGTTCAGGCGCCCCGGAATCGGCAGGGCTAGGCGGGAGGGCTTCCCCTCGCAGAAGACGGAAAGCCGGTACCCCTCAAAACACACAAACCCCTCCTCGGCCGCCAAGGGCTGCAACCTCCTCCGCCCATGACCTCATGCTCTAAACTCCCGTATCGCCTTCCCCCGCCCTGTCCACACCCCGAGGCCGAGTGGGGGCGGGGTGGGGTAGGGGACAGCGGCGGAGACCTGAAGCGCCGGAGCAGTTTACTCAACCTGCGCGAGATTTGGGGGTGAGGGGCACAACGATCCCGCACCCTGAAAACAGGATGGTGTAACTTTCCCTCGTGCAAAAAAACAAAAAAACAAAAAACAAAAAAACAAAAACCCAAAACACCCGTTGCCTTGCTTGGGATCGACGCCTAGAGACTGGAGTGAGTGATCTGTTTAGCTCAACTCTTGGGCTCCCGTTGGGAGACGCTGGGTTGCGGGCTGGGTTCCAGGCTCGCGGCCCGGGAAGGACCTGGG